GTCATTAGCACCTCTAGTAATATATTTACTGAGAAAAATAGTGACGTCTTCAATACTTATTTTACCCGCTGTATATGTGAATTATATCTCTGTGGCAGCAGACATTTTAGGTTTTACGTTTGTATAAATAAAAATATATTGCTTATGATTCAAAGGAAATAATGGGACCCACACACCGATGGTGCTAGATATACAATAGTTACTGTTTTTATGCACTCCTTTTAAGGTCTGTATGTTCTACAATCAATAGATTTTAAAGAGGGGGTGTTATGCAAAATTGACTTTTTTTATATCGTGTCATTCTCTCATTAAAAACATACCCAGAGTGTTGCTTTGACTCATTCATGCATGTTTGAGAAATCCTTCACCTAGTAGTCATGTGGAGCTGCCTAAATGCTTGCTGGTACAAAGCTCCCCGCTGGAGCTCAGTCAGCAGCCAAGCCCCTGCTCCACAAAGGACCCTCCACTGAAGCATCGTTTGAAACATGCTGAAGTGGGAACGTCAGAAACAGTAGGAGGTTCTTAAAAAGGCAGAGGCCAATTTCAATACACGTAGAAAGACTGAAATGCAGTCAATTAATACCCCCACTTCAAAAATCCCAACAGAGTTGAGCGTTAATCAGATAAACAACTTTATTAAACAGTGTTTTAGTCATCTTCATCATCATCTTGATCCAATCGTGTTGGTCCTCTGTGAGCAAAGCATGTTTTATTTTATCATTTGCTCCATACAAATACATATTCTAGGCCTTTCTGAATCTCCATAGAGTTAAAAAACAAACAAACAAACAAACAAACAAAAAATGTTGGCTATATTTGGATAATCGTTTCATCTAATTTATGATAAAAGGCTGTACGTCTCAATTACGAGTTATCTGCACCATCACCACTAACATTAAAAAGTCATATTAATTTGACTTGATATCTGATTTTGAGCGCTGTGTGAGTTTTAAACAGAACTAATTTAGACTTTTTTTTCTGCGATTGAGCAATAAACTTGTCTTTTTCATAAAGATGATTGCTAAGTGCAAACTGGTGGAAAACAGCTAAATGAAGACGCCAACTAAAGAAGCAGTGCTTTGCAGTCGAAATTCAGATGAGCACATTTAGAAAAACCAATTTAAAAAATGATTATGCACYCAACATGGTAAAACATAATGACACAAACGTGTTGTGATCTACAGGAAGTTTTGGAAAGTCACCCAGAACTGCCAGCTGAGTCTAGARTTTGAATGTTATTTATAACAGGAAGTTTTTCTAAGGTATTTTTTAAAGCGAGGCTAACCTGTGACCTTCTCGYTTTGAGATGACAGGTAAACTTAATTTCACGGCTTCGTTGTACCAATTGGTCAAAAAACAAMTTGCATGAATCTGCAGCAGGTGACAGCAGCAGGCCTGACATGTGACAAAGCACACAAATTAATAGAGATTTTATCTGATTCAGAGTAAATCTGAACTATGATTAAGTGGGCAAACATGTTTTAATTTGCAGACATGGCATTCTTTGATGGGATGCACATAACCTTCAATAAGATTAAACTCTGATCTTTTGTAAATGGCATGATTTTATTCAGTCTTTGTGAACTGGCAATGCTTGTATTATATTTTGAGCGACTATCACAGCCGACTTTAGCTCGGTATCTATAAATGACTGATTTTTAGGAATTTTTGGACTGCTTAGTTTGGTTAGCTGTGGYAGCCATYTTTAGTTAAGGTGACTCCAAAACTTTAACAGCTGTAGATGCACATCTGATTATTAGTTTCWGAGAGTTCCACTAAAATCTGTCCTGTGGTTCATGAGATATTTTGCTAACAGAAAATATTGACACCAAATGTTAATGCTGAAATTTCAGGTTAAATGATTGCACAACATGTAGCACTCTTAATAAGAGTTGAGGATGACTCTCAGCTACTACCCACTCCAAATTTTAGATGAATATCAGTAAAACTGACTGAGTTTTAGTAATTTTTGACTTGGCTAAAATTGAGTAGCTGTGGCAGCCATCTTACATCAAACTGACTTCAAAAGTTAAAGAGTCGTAGCAGTGTATCCAACTATTACTTTATGAAAGTTTCACTAAAATCGGTCCACTGGTTGATGAGATATTTTGCTAACAGACACAGTTATGGGCAAATTCAAGATTGCTTTTGGCAGTGAGAAGTTATGATGATAATGATAAAGTGCATTTGCTTTTGCAGATGTGGTTTGTGGTCAAAAAGATGTAAATCTCAACTTTATTTTTACTTTGACATTTGTGTTTGCGCAAACCAAAAGACTTATCGCCACAAGTATGAAAAAAAAAAGTCGTGAACTTTTTTACTTAGAGGAAATGTTCACCACAGTCCTTCTGCACAAAATGTTCTGGGTTTGTCACTTACTTGTAAGTGATTTTTTTGGGGGGCTCATAGCCTGGAGGCCTTTATTTAGTTTTCTGTTCATTTGAATAGAATAACTCGTAAATAAAGTCACAGTGAATGCTCTGGATTTATTTGTCAGGTGTTGAGAAAAGTGCTGTAAAACAAATTAAAAAAATGTAATAAATACTACACAGTTAATGTCACACAGACTGGCTGGTTGTTAATGAGGTTTTTATTGTGACAGACAAACAACAGCGTTTTCTAAGTAGCAATAATTTATCTTGATTTAGTATTTAATGTATAATTGTAAAAACATTTTAAAAAATTCACATTAGCTTTGAGTCAGCACCAATTCTTGTTAATATTACATATCAGAATAAATCAAGTA